ACCTCATGTAAGCTCTGCTGCCTGTTTCCACCATCACACGTCCACCTTCTCCACTGCCTGTGGGCCTCAACCCCCAGCTCTGGGGGAGGGCAGGGGCTGGCTGGTGAGCCTGGGTCTCACACATACAGCAGGTGCCTCATGCTTGAGCAACTGCTGTGCCAAGGATGTCGGCCCATGACACCCTCCCTGCCCTGCTCGACCCCGCCCTCCATCACCCCCAGCCTTTAGAGGGGAAATTAGGTTTCTCCCAAAATGCGCTGCAAATCCTGCCCCATCTGAGACAAGACTGCACATGCAGTCAAGAGGAATCGGACTGCTGTGGGAGGACATCCGTGCTGGGTGGCGCAGAGGGCTGGTGAGAGAGAAAAGGAAGGGCCCTCGGTGAGCTGGATGGACAGACGGGCAATGCTGCCACAGTGAGCCCCAGCTACGGCTGCTTGTCGGGATGGAGCAGGGCTGGCAGTGTCCAGTACGTTGTACAGGGGTTTCTGTGGATCAGGGAAGACCCCAACAATACTGGTGGTCATGTCTCTCTCTGTGGGGCTGAGACACAAAGTTCGTGGACGGTGCACAAGGGTGGAATACTTTAAAAAAAATCATTTTATTAGGGCTCATACGACTCATCACAATCCATACATACATCAATTGTGTAAAGCACATTTGTACATTCATTGTCCTCATCATTCTCAAAACATTTGCTCTCCCTGGACCCAGGCGTCCTTTTTCTGCACTGCTCCCCAGTTGGTATACCCTTCTCCCTTTTGGGCCAGGCAACTTACACATCCTCCAAAACCCACCTGCGTGTCCCCTTCGCTGTTCAGAAGTCTTCCACCTCCCAGGCAGAACCCCATCTCCCCTTCTGGGGTTCCCCCAACCCCAGGAAGAAGATCCCTAAGACAAGACCTGGCTGATGCCCCGTCAAGGGAGCCTGCCTCCCCTCCTATTGAGACCCTTTCTCACCCATCACTACCCCTGTGCCAGGCAAGGACCTCAGCAGAGGGGCTTGGGGACGCCCCAGCAGCTCCCCTGGGGTGGCTTGTCTCGTGGAAAGGGAGGGCCTTTGCTAACAGGGTCGCAGGATATTGCCCCGGTGGGGCAAGGAGCCGAGTGAGTGCAAGGGGGCAGATGCCGGGGCGGGGCGGGCTGGTACCCTCAGGCCAGCTGTGGCGCACTTTCGGGAGACGTCGGCAGAGGGCGCCACAGGCTCGGTTGGGGGTTATAGGCACCCTGGCCGCCAAGCCGGCCTTGGTACCCACAGGTTAATAAACCCAGTGTTGCTCTAGAGTCGGGCCTTCCATCCCAATGGTGGCCTGGAGGGGACCCCAGGTTGGAGTTGGGAAGCCTGGAGGATGGGGGACCATGGCTGCCGCCCGAAGCTCATCCTCGCCCTTGTCGCCCCACCCCACCCCCGCCCAGCCTGCCCCCCATTGCCAGGAACCCTCCCCGTTGGGCCAGAGCAGTCTTCCCCAAGGGGACACAACGGGGACCGTCCCTGAACCAGGCCGGGTGCGGACAGTCGAGTGGACTCCGGGGATGAGTAGGGGCAGAGAGGACAGGGGGAGGTTGCGATGGTAGGATGGGGACCCGAGGACACGCAGGAAGCCGGAGGATCGGAGGGGCAGGGGGCGAGGACCGAGGGGGAGGGGCGAGGTCTTCGCCTTGGGGCCTCTGGGAGGACCCAGGTGTCTGGAGCGATCACCTCGAGGACCCACTGCCCCTTCCCAGCCACGCGGCGCTGTTGCCAACTCGGGAGGGCGGGGATCTTTCGGCGGCGGCACAGGCCGTGCGCACGGGCGGAGAGGC